AATGGTATCAAAATTCATCATTCCCTCTTTTGTCTTTTTTTTTTATATACACATCTCTTTGGAGAATTGTGAGGATAAAGTTTGCTGAAGAAAGGTTCATAGCAAGCATCATCTTGCCTGTCTGAATCCTACAGTCTCCCCACCCTGCGTGCATGCCTGTATGATCTGCCTAAGCCTCACTGTCACACAAGCCAAACCACATTTGGTCTTACACATAAAAATGAGAAACTATCCATCAGAGCCACAGTGCATACCTGCAAGGGCTGCCCTCTACACGTGAGTGTCACCTCCAGGAGTTGTGTTTCTCATCCTGAGCTGTCATCATGTCCTTTCATGTGATAAAATGATGTCACAGAGTGGTTATGAACATGGGAAAGGCTGTACACGGTTTTACACATTTGTAGGCATTGACAAAGGTGTAATGCTAACCATGCCCTAGCCAAGGATTTTATAGCCTGCATCTCATGAAGTCCCCCACTGTCTAAAGCCTTTGAGTGGCATTGTCTTCTCCCTGAAGATGAAAAAACAATCTAAGAGATGAGAAATCCTGTCACACCTCATTAGAAGTAAGCAGAAGAAACAAATGATTTGATACCAATGCTTGTGTGTCGGTCGTTCAGCATTCTCGCTCCCAAAATTTTTAAAATAATCGTCTCTTCACATATGTGTGTGTGTGTGTGTGTGTGTGTGTGTGTGTGTGTGTGTGTGTGTGACTTGAAACAGTGCTTCGTGCATGAGCACGAAAATGGTACCATACACATACTTCATACATGTGGCAGTGGTGAAGAACACCTACAACCCCAGTACATAGGAGGAATTGAGATAGGAAGATTGTGAGCTGAGGCCAGCCTAGGCTACACAATGAGCTCCAGGCTCAATAATAATAAGAATTTTTATAATCATAGCAATAATAAATTCCTTGGTTATTGAGGGCTTGCTATATTATGAGGAGAATAAAATTATCATTCCCATTTTCACATGGGAAAACTGAGGCACCAACTAATTTGATGACTTGCCTGAGATCATAAAGTTAACAAGTGAGTGGCCAGACTAGAAATCGAGGCAGCCGGATCCCAGAGGCTGCTTAGGTACTATGTTATGATACTTCTTCTGTTACCTATTGTGCCTATTAACATGGTTAGTGCTGTAAATATCTGTCCCCAAAGAAGTGACATGAAGTTACATACTTGAGAGTTCTCTTCATCTAACATCCCTGCCTCCTACGTGATCACTTTGATGTCCCAGTCACCAGTCCTTGAGTATTCTCATGTTTCTACACCCTAAACCAAAAGGAGCTCACGAGCTTAATGACCGTCCTTCATTGCAAGCTGTGTGAATTTAGTTATGGAGTTATGGTTTAGCTGTGTGAATTTAGTTATGGAGTTATGGTTTAGGGAGAAGAATGTTCTCCTCAAAACAGTAAGGAGAGTGTTATCAAGACACTTGATCAAACTAAATGTGGACAGGGCAAGGGTGGTGGTAGAAAGGGGTGGGTGATAGATAAAATAGATAAATGATGCATAGGTTAGGTAGATAGATAGAAAATCAATAACACAGTCAGTTATGGGGATGGAAAAAATTAAATTATATTCTCTGTCTTTCCACCATTTTACTTATCCAAATTCCAGAAGACCATGAATAATGTAGAGCCTATTTTGTTTTGTGAATCAAAGAAGTCTATCACCAATAGCTATGAGTCTTGAAAGGAAATGGCCCAGCTTAGAGAAGGTTGGAGACCCCAAGAAGATTTCTATGGCAACTAAGCATCAGTCACCAACACTCCAGGGAGTGTGAGGATTTAAGCCTCTGGCTTTGCCAGCTGGGTCCTAGGGCCAAACGGGAAGACACAGAAAAACAGGTCATAGCACCGAATCCTAAGCCTAGCAGAGACTGGCATGAGCCAGAAACTCAAGTTTCCTCAAGCCATGATGTTGATGTGCCTCAGCTAACGTTAGGGATAAAATTACGCTGCTCAGAAATAAGCTTGGCATAAAGCTGCCTATGCCAGGAACCTGTAACAAGGAAGTCACCGACTGCTTGCAGGGTCACCGAACACCTCAGACTCCTCCGCCTCCTTTGCTTCCTGACTGGCTGAAGTTTGTATTATGTGGTAGAGAGGCTGAGTGCAGGGTGGGTGACGGGATGACTTGTTCTCCACACGTCCTTCCCTACACCCCTTACAAACCAGGATCCTTGGAAGTCTGTGGCTGAAAGCTGATAACGGATTTAGGTCTGGTGCTGTCAGTGGGGCTGCAATGAGGTTGAGCCAAAAGAATGGGAACTGGAGGATCTTGTAAAACTTTCATTTGTTTACACACTTGTGATCTATACAGGAAAAAAATGGTTTTTAAATAAATCAGATCCTTCCCTTTTTTTATTCTGTTTTGTATTAAATCTCTTTAAATGTTTTAAACACAGTCTTCAAAATCTAACCATATAAGTATTGTCTTTGCTTTTTTTTAAAGTAGCAACTGAAATCTTATATTTAACTGGTGAGGTTTAAGTCTAGAATAGGTCTAGAATATATCTAAGATGTAAGAATATGCCTAAGATATTAAGATGTAATAGCTATAGACACATAGATATTAAGATGTAATAGTTATAGACGCATAGAAAAAAGGAAGGAAGGAGAGAGGGAGGGAGGGAGGGAGGGAGGGAGGGAGGGAGGGAGGGAGGAAGGGAGGAAAGGAGACAAAGACTGACACAAAAGCCTTTTACATAAATCACAAGCAGCTATGACTATTTCATAGCCAGGCCATTGGGCCCTTCCCTTCAGTATTAACACAGCTAAATCTAAGGACATCTGAGCTTGCTACAAATGTTAAACCCCTTTAATTTCCTTGGGTGTCTTTAGTAGCATGGTTAATATGTGCATTCTGTTAAAAGCATACATTTCTCATTGACGTTTCAGAGGCTGGAACATGTTGGCATATAATGTATATTATAGTCTAAGCAGGCAGCACAGGATTAAAGGTGCACACTCTAGGGGCTGAAGAAATGGACCAGTGATTGAGAGCTCTTGTTGCTCTTGCAGAAGACCCAGGTTAGCTTCCCCAACCCACATGATAGGTCACAACCCTTTAAGAGTACATGTAATGTACATATATACATGCAGGCAAAAGACTCAAAAAATAAAATAATTAAGTTAAACTAAAAGCATTTTAAGTCTGTACTTTAGATCCGTGGAGTCTGGGTTTGAATCCCAGCATTGCTATTTTCCATCTGTGAGTATTGGGCATGTTTTGACACCTCTTTGTTCTAAATTGCCTGATTTGTAAACAAGAAATAATAAGAGTACTTCTACCCTTGAATGGCAGTGAGGGTCTATGAGATCATCAGGAAATCATAAAGCCCTAGTAAGTGTTAATGTGACCAGTTACATGGTTAATGGCTTCCTCAGACAGAGTTAGTTTAGCAGAAGAGAGACTGTCAACTGCCCTGCTCAAACTAGTCAGAAATTGACATTTGGATGGAGGTTTAGCCAAGCAGCTGGACCTCAGACTGAGGCAGACCCCATGTTGTAGCTAACTTTGCCCTACAATAAGCTGCCTCAGATCCTGCCTGTGCCTAAAGCAGCCACTACAGGAGTCCTGAGGAACCATCCACACACCTATAGCTTTTCCCAGATTAGACCAGTTAGTTGAGAATTGAAGAACAGTTTTTCCCTTCATCCTTCGTTGCCCATCTTCTCATGATAGTCCTTGGTCCAGACCACCCAGGAACAGTCAGACCTAAAGAGGGACTCACAGACCCAAGCCCTTTATAAGATCAGGAAAAGCCTTCATCCAGTCACGACTGACCCAGAGGGAAGGTGGCTGCTCTAGATGGGTATCATTCTGCTCAGTAGCAGAAATAATGATGCAGGCAGATGGTGCAAGACTCTGGTGCCCAGTCCCCTCAGCCCAGACCTGGCACCTCATCTCTTCACTCACCACAGCTCCAGAGCCTGTGTCTCCTCTCATCTGTTCCTCTGTTAGTAAGAAGCATCTCTTGTTCTGCCCACAAAGGCCAGTACTTTATAATCTTCCTGTTAGAAGTAGAGACATAACAGGTCTGCTGGGAACCAGACGCAAATCCAAGAGATTTACGCAGCTCACCTTGCTGAGGTCCCTGAGCTCTGGGACAGGCAGCTCTGAGAATTGGTGTGGAAGCACCAGGCAAGTGCTTGAGTAACTGATGAGTTTTCTTAGGGGCACCAGGAGCATGCTCAGACACCTCATACAGAGTGGCTACTCTTCCCGAAGACCCAACCCCATGAACTCCAGTGACAAATGGAGGCAGATGTGGGTAACTAGAGACTGGGGCACACTCTGTCCTTCTGTGGAAGAGACCTTGAAGAAAGCCTGCATCTAGAGAGCATCAGTGTGGTCTTGCCAAAGTCTGCCAAAGATGAAGCAGCATAGCCACAAACACGTATCGGTGCTTTAGGCCTAGAAAACTTGGGAGAGAGGAGGAAGACATTTCTCTGCTTAACCCCAAGGTGGTGCTTAGTGAATGACAGTGTTGGAAAGCAAAGCTACACCCACGAAGCAGGCTTTCTCTCTCTCTCTCCCAGGAACGCCCTTGGAAACCATCAGCCGAGCATGAGGTAGTGGAAAACTTCTGGCCTATTTATTTCTGGATCTCTCACCAAATATGTGATTATGAGCAAATGACCTCCTTGATCCTTAGTAATTATGTGTATATTGTAGGTGATGGTTGATCTTCACAGAATCTTCACTATGATTAAATTAGGACGTATGAGGCTGGGAGATGGTGTGGAGTGTTTCCTATTCTTCCAGAGGACCAGATTTTGGTTCCCAGCACTCACATCAGGCAGTATAACTGCCTAATAACTCTGGTTCCAGGGTATCCAACATCCTCTTCTGGCCTCCATAGGCACTTGACCACATGTACACATAAACACACACACACACACACACACACACACACACACACAAATCAAATAAATCTTGTTTTTTCCAATACTCATTAATCTTGTTTATTTCAGATCTCTTTAATTTATAAAACAACTCTGCACGTTTTCTTTTAAAATGAAAACTTTTCATGTGAAAATTTTTTTCTTCTTTATTGAGAATGTTGTACATGCATATATTGTGCTTTGATCAACTATATACACCATTCCTTTCCCCCAGTTCCTCCCCTCTTCCCCCACCATTTTTCCTACCAAGTTCATGTGCTTTTTTTAAAAGCACACTGAGTCATTTCAAACTTAAATAAATTAGAATACATGAAGCTCTTGGGAAAAGACCTATAAACTTTACACACAGTCTTTTGACTTCTCCATAAGACATTAAGAGCTGGCTTTGGCGATCCATCAAGCCTCCTCTATAACCAACATACCACATTAACTCCCCCCCTACTCCATGGTCAGAGCTGTAAAAGATTTTTAATTTGTTTTTTATTAGGGACTATATCAAACTAATTCAGAGAGAGAGAGAGAGAGAGAGAGAGAGAGAGAGAGAGAGAGAGAGAGAGAGAGAGACCAGTTCTCGAGGTATACCTCAAGCAGCCAAGTTATAAGCAAAATTAATCTCACATTCTTTGTACATTTGTTTACATTGTTTGATCCATAATGAGGTCTTAAGATTTGAGATCCCATCACTTCCTGGGGGAAGTAAAAGAAGGAAGTTGGGGTTCCTGGAGGAAGTAGAATGCTATTTTGTGTGTGTGTGTGTGTGTGTGTGTGTGTGTGTGTGTGTGTGTGTGTGTATAAAATACCAATTCTTACGCTGATTTTTTTTACTGTGCCTAGGAAAATCTGAGCAGTTTTCTAGTGATACTATTTACATTAAATAAATGGAATTTTTCAAACAAAGTAAGTGATATTCCAACATATCTTTTTTTCCGTCTACATTGTATCTGCCAAGAGCCACCATTTTTAAACCTACACCACTAAGCTTTTTCCAAAGCACTACCTATAACCAAGGAACTGTTTTATATATAACAAGTCCTAATAATGGGACTTCCCTTGGAAACCATTGGTCTGGAACGTGTATCATCAGTTAGAATAGGTGGTCAGTAGAACTGGCGTATGACCTGTTGAAAGCACAGGTATAGCACCAATTTGGAAATCCCATCTGCTGTGATCTGAATGTCTGTGTCTTCATGGCATTCATACATTAAGATGATGATGATGATGATGATGATGATGATGACAAGAAATGAAACTGTGGATGAGGATCCTTACAAAAAAGGATTCAAAGAGAAGGAAGGCCTCATCTTGAGGAGAGAGCAAGTAGGAGGCGGCAAATCTGCTGCTACCTTATCTTGGGCTCCCCATTCTTCACAACTATAAAAAAGAAACATGTTTTTTATGAATTACTGAATAGTGACATTTTATTATAGGAACAGAAATCAACAAAGGCCTTACCTATGAGAGTAAAGGGTTATCTGTAGTAGAATATTATTTTAAGGTGTGTTACTTTTGTTTATGTTGCATTTGTTTAACTCTAAAGCTGTGTTACTGTGCCTGTGTAAAACATCTGATGGTTTAATAAAGAACTGAACGGCCAATGGCGAGGCAGGAGAAAGGATAAGCAGGGCTCGCAGGCAGAGAGGATAAACAGAAAGAGAAATCTGGGAGGGAGGAAGAAAGACCAAGAACAAGGAGAGGAGGACGTCAGGGGCCAGCCATCCAGCCACCCAGCCATCCAGCTGCACAACCAGCAACAGAGTAAGAAAGAAAGGTATATAGAAACAGAGAAAAGTAAAAGCCCTGAGGCCAAAGGTAGATGGATTAATTAAAGTTAAAAAAGCAGGCTAGAAATTGCTCTTTGAGTTTCCATAGTTGAGATACCTTTCTGTATGTTAACAAGTAGGCTGCCAATATTCCCTTTGATTGAAACAATAAAGTTTTCCCTTTATTTAAAAAAAGAAAAAGAAAAGAAAGCTAGCTAGAAATAAGCCAAGCTAAGGCCAGACATTTATAATTAAGAATAGCCTACATGAGTGATTTATTTGGGAGCTGGGTGGCAGGCTCTCCAAAAGAGTAGAAGCTAACAACAAGAGCTATCCCATAATTCTGATGCATGATTAAAACCAGCAGTCCTCTATCACCCTCTCTTGCCCCTCCCCCACACCTAGTGAGCCCTTCTTCTTCCTAACTGGTCCTCCTCCTCCTTCCGAGTCTTTGGAGCGTCACTAAATTAGAAATATGCAGAGGATGCCCTTCCTGTCCTGGCCAGAGTGGACCGATCCCTACCACCCAGGACAACTTCGGTTACTGACACACATTAAAATCGTGGAGACTACGACTAAAACCCAAATTCCACCTTCTCACTTCACTAGCATAGCCAACATGCTAGACGGGAATGTCAATGGCATTATTCCTTCCCAAATAAAGACATGGGTCATTTCAACAGGAAAAAAAAAAGGAAGACAAATATCGAAGTACCATCTGCGGATGAAGGGAATTTGGAATGATAGTTTGGATCTTCAAACAATTACTAACTACTAACGTGGGAGTTACACTGTGTTATATTAGTCAATCTGTATGAGCACGTACCAACACAACCTTAGGGTGGGCGTGTCAACAGAAACAGAGCGCCATCTAGTGGTAAATAGCAAAATGTACCTTAACTTGGGACCCAGGTTCTTTTCTGGACTCCAAAGTTGGCTTTCTCCATGCCTGCAGGAAACAGCAACAGGTCTTCAGGGGTATGAGGCAGAGTCGTTTTCTGATGCCTACAGCTCTCTTCGTCCATTTAGATGCTTGACTCTGTGTTTCATTCTGCTTTCTGGGACTGTTTGTGTTCCTGGAATCAAATCCCACTTCGGCAGCACAATCTAGACAGTTGATGTCGCCTGGTGGCCTTTCACTCAGAAAATCTCTCTTAAATAGGACTAGATATTTCAAAGCATGGGATGTCTTTATGTTTCCTAAATATAACTAAATATTAAGGAAAATTCAACCGATGCTTTTAGCGCAAGTTCTAAGACAGTCGGTGCCCACAAATCTCAACTCCCTTCATTGGCACAACACCAATCTTGACATTCATAAGGAATGAATTTCTCATCTCAGACTGTCTGAGAAGAGGGGAGCAAAATCGGAAGATTAGAGTGATGGGAAATGAGCATAATTAAAGTACACTGTACAATTAATATATGCTAATAAGAACGGTGGCGAGATCTTTCATCCCAAATTTTAAAGAACTACCAATCTTGTGGGAAGGAATCCATTCCTGGAAGTAGTAAGCAGAATGTGATTCCTCTCCATCCAGACCTCTTCTCCCAGATGCTCCAGGTGTGAGGTGAAGACCAGTGTCAAAGACAACACACATCGATATCCTGTAGGTTACATTCTGGGAAATGAGACAAAGAAGCCTCATTGAGAAGGTAAGCGGTTCCCTCCGCCTGCGCCTGCGGCTGGCAGCCAGCAGCTTCTAGCACCTCTGACCTCTCTCCTCTCACTCCCCGCCCAGTCTCCGCCCTCTCTGCCCCCATCCTCCCTCTGCCGCTCATCTCCCGCTCCTCCCCTTGCTCCTCCCGCTTCCTTCTAGACTGGCCTCTGAGAGGAAACTGAAAGTGAAATTTATAGAGCAGGATTGTGAAAGCGAAGCTGGGAGCCGGTGGCCAACGCTGAGGACCCTGGTAAGGTGAGTAAGGCTGGGATCCCCGGCCCACCTAGGAGTGCTCTGTCCTCCGCCCCAGACTCCAGGAGCCCCTTCCCACCAGCGCCCCCCACCCTGAACCTGCCGGTCCACCTGCTGCTTCTCCTCAGCAGAGTTCTCTAGTTCCAGGCCTGGCAGGCTGTCCGCACAGGCCAGTGGAAGCTGGGCTCTGAAAGTGACTTTCCCAGTCCCCTGGAAGGGGCTTTCCTGGTGGCTGGTGCCTGAGCTGAGACTAGGGAGCTAGTAAAGGTGGGAGAAGCAGGCTGTGACCCAGCCCAGAGGTCAAGGAAAGTCCTGCCCCTTAAAGAGCCCTGATGGCAGTGAGTGCTAGCCATTTATGTGGGTTTAAGACACTCAGGAAGTTGAGACAGGTACTAGGCTTGGAGCAGCTTAGAGAAGAGCCTGATGAGTGCTCCCCACAAATGTGTATGGATGAGTACACATATTCATATGTGTGCCTAAACATTTATATAAGAACGTGTGGGCACACCTACATGATGCATTTGTGCTCACATATATTTTGTATATAAGAACATATTAGGATAAATAAAAACAGCTATGTATATATGTAGATACATACATACATACATGCAACCCTAATGGCTGGAAATGTGCTCCTAGGTGATGTCATATCAGAATGAACACACATCTTGAAGTGTACTTACATGAACCTGAGAGGGTAGCCAATGGCACACCTAGGCTGTATGGTCCAGCCTACTGTTCATTCGCCATACGTGCAGCCCATCGTGTTTGACCAAAATGTCTCAGGTGATGACTCACTGCATAGACCTGGACTCCTAATTCCTGACTCCTGTGACTATTGTCAAGACTGATGAAGACTGACATAAGCACGTAGCACCCAGGTGGAATATGGAGGGTCCAGGATAAATGTGGTCAATGGTCGGTACTACTACGATGAACTTCTCTGCACCGTGGAGGCATGAGATGAGGGGGAGTGTGTGGCTAAAGCCGGGACGGATGTGATGAAGGTGGAATTAGTAACAGCATTATCCCTGCCAGTGTTCTCTGCCTCTTCTGGAGACAGTGTTCCTTCTGCCTGCCTGACGGGACCCGTGGGTCGACTGTGGAGGAGAGGCTGCTGAACAGTACCCTCAGCCTGATGCTCCTCCCTTTGTGTTTTCCCTCCCATGTCGTTCTCTCACATTTTTTCCTTTGCATTATTTCAGGGAGCTTGGGTTTTGTCCTGCTTTTGCTCTTGTCGTGAAAACTTTCGTTTTATCTCTTCCCTTCCCCGCTCTGCACTCCTCAGGATTCTACAGCCTCAAAGATGTCTCTGGAAAAGATGTGGGATGACGTCACCTGCTGTGTCTGTCTGGATCCCATGGTGGAGCCTATGAGTATCGAATGTGGCCATAGCTTTTGCAAGGGATGCATTTCTGAGGTTGGGAAAGATGGGGGCGGTTCATGTCCCCAGTGCCGGCAACACTTTCTGCTCAGAAACCTCAGGCCCAATCGGCACATAGCCAACATGGTAGAAAACCTTAAACAAACAGCCCAGAGTGCCAAGCAGGGGACCCAGGAAGACTGCTGCGTGAAGCATGGAGAGAAACTTCAGGTGTTCTGTGAGGAAGATGGGCAGGCCCTTTGCTGGGTGTGCGACCACTCTGGGAAACACCGTGACCACACCAGGGTCCCAGTTGAAGAGGCTGCTCGGATATACCAGGTGAGGCCCTATCACAAAGGCACGTGTAGGTATAAAGAAAACGGTCCATGAAGAGTGCTTTGTTCCTCCGAACAGTGGCTGAGAGCCCTACAGCTGAGAAGTTGGGGGATGGAGGGCCATTTTCTTCTTTCACTGAGAGGTACTTGTGCATCAAATACAAGCTTATTTCTCAGGAGCAGAGGCTACGCCAGGGGACTGCTACATGGTCATGCTTTCTCTGGCTTCCTGGTGGATTAGAAATGCAATGACCCAGATCCCATTACCCCATCAGTGTCGCTCTGTTTTGTAAGACATACTAGGTTTTCCCCCAAAGTCTTCCCAGCCCCCTCCTCCACCTCTCTAGCTGAGGACTAACCTGCTACCTTTTTCTACAGGAGAAGCTCTGTGTGGCTTTAGAAAAACTGAGGAAAGGGAAAGAGGTGGCCGAAAAGCTGGAAATGGATCTCGAAATGCAAAGAATAGACTGGAAGGTAAGATCCTGAGGATGGGCTGGGTCCCGGGTCTTGACCTCAAGCAAGCATGACTGTGCCTCTCCAAGGGGTGGGAGAGTTGTTATATAGGTCCCTCCCCAAGAACCATCCACACTATATCTCTAGATAGAGAAGAATTAAGGAAGGAGGGAAGGAAGGAAGGAAGGAAGGAAGGAAGGAAGGAAGGAAGGAAGGAAGGAAGGAAGGGAAAAGAGAGAGAGAGAGAGAGAGAGAGAGAAAGAAAGAAAGAAAGAAAGAAAGAAAGAAAGAAAGAAAGAAAGAAAGAAAGAAAGAAAGAAAGAAAGAAAGAAAGAAAGAAAGAAAGAGGAAGCTTGAAACCAGATGAGATTTCCCCCAATCTTCATAAAAATCAAGAATTACTGGAGAAAGTGTAAGAAGGTCATGCCATTCCTTCTGACCCTGTCTCAGTGGATAACAAACAGTCTTGGGCTACCAGAATCAACACTGTAGTTTCTGAGTCTGAGGTATCCTGTGAGAGAACCCCATCTCCTGCGCCCTTTAGACATGACAGAGACCGGAGGGAACAGCGTGAGGGTTCTATGTAAGTCTGAGGTGGAGGCCCACCTGACTCAGTGGCTGCTTACTGGTGACCAGGTTATTAGTCCAAAGCCTGGTAAAGAACTAAAGCCTGTCACATTGGTGATTTGCTGGTAGAAAACGGGGTATACAGCCGGGCAGTGGTGGCGCAAGCCGGGCGGTGGTGGCACACGCCTTTAATCCCAGCACTCGGGAGGCAGAGGCAGGCGGATCTCTGTGAGTTCAAGGCCAGCCTGGTCTCCAAAGCAAGTTCCAGGAAAGGCGCAAAGCTACACAGAGAAACCCTGTCTCAAAAAAAAAAAAAAAAAAAAAGAAAGAAAGAAAGGAAAAACGGGGTACGCATGAAACTGACAAGGAATGCAAGGGGCTCACAAGCAATCACAGACCCCAAAAGAGGAACTGGGATTAGCAAAGACTGGATCAAGCTATGGTGTCAAAACAGGTCATCAGGTGACCCTCCCAAGATGGCAGAGACTACCCCGGGGCCACTGTCGTCCCCCAGGGCTTAGGAATAGTGCATCACTGGAAATGGGAGCAGGTTTTACTCTCTGTGACTTGTTGAAATAGAAAGACAAACGGACTCACATGGGCGTTACTGGGTTTTGGAAGAAAGGTTGAGAAAATGTTTGTTGGTGCCAGAAGTTGCTGAAGCTGGTAGCTTACTACAGCCCTAGCTCCAGTGTGCCACTTACAGTGCTGTTTCCCTGGTAGTCCCAGAAACCGTGTGCCTGCATGCTTGCACATGAGAGCGTGCTCTGTGCCTGGGTCTGCGTGTGTGCACGCATTCATTCCCAGACATAAACAGAGGGATGGGTGACCAGGGAACAGAAGCACCCCCAGCACCAAAGCCTAGGAAATTGTTATTACAAATAAAAAATGTAAAATTCCTGTCTTTCCCTTGCCACCACAGAGGAACGTGGACACACAAAAATCAAGGATTCACTCAGAGTTTGTGCACCAGAGTAGCTTGTTGGCCAAGGAAGAGCAGAGGCAGCTGCAGAAACTGGAGAAGGATGAGAGGGAGCACCTGAGACTTCTGGGGGAGAAGGAGGCTGAGCTGGCTGAGAAGAACCAGTCCCTGCAGGAGCTGATCGCAGAGCTGGAGAGGAGGATCCGGAGCTCCAAGCTTGAGCTACTGCAGGTGGGACCCATGTGCAGTATAAGGAGAAACTTGGGAGAAAACCAGAGCTATCTGGAACCACTCTTAAAGCAAGTGCTACCTTAATCTTTGATATATTCTTAAACTGAAATGTGGACCCAGGAGTGGCTTCCATTCCAGAAGCACAGGGTGCAGATACAAGGAAAAGTGCTCCATGTAGCAACCCTGGGACAGACATCCCTGGGAAGTGCCTACTTCAGCAGGTGCCAGGTGTGGAAGCTGGAGCATCGCACTTATCACATATCACCCGGATATATAGTCTTACATATATTTTAAAGAATTAAATGAGAAAATCCATTCTAGTGCTTAGACAAGTACCCATAAGAATGTTTTTGAAAATATAATTTACAGATCTGAGCTGTGTCATTTCCCGCCACAGTGATAGGTTTTTCTTTCCTGTGCACAGTTTCTCCATGTATAAAGCCATAGAGGGGCTGGGATACACAAGAGTGCCCCTAACATTAGTCATAGCTGTTGCATTTTCATACTTTATTTCTATGAGCTACCCACATGATTTTTCACTTGTTCTGCTTCTGCAAATAGTCTCACTCTCTTCCCAAAGTAAATTTAGCTTTAAAATTATTTTTTCCAAAGCATGATAGTTAAGAAATTACGTATTGGTGCTACTATTTTTTCCCATAGTGATAACTGCAGATTCCTAAACAGCACACAGATGGCTTATCATGGTTCAGGTAAGTGCTACTGTGATCCCATTCCATGGATGAGAAAACTAAGGAGCAGAGACATTAATAGGCTTAGTGGGAGAATCAAGTTAAATGATGTCAGTTTAAGTAGTAAGAGGCAAAAGTTAAGATGAAACACATACATAACTGGTTTTTTTGTTTTGTTCTGTTTTGTTTTTTATTTTATTATGTATACAGTGTTCTGTCTTGCATGTATGCCTGCAGGCCAGAAGAGGGCACCAGATCTCCTTACAGGTGGTTGTGAGCCACCATGTGGTTGCTGGGAATTGAACTCAGGACCTCTGAAAGAGCAGTCAGTGTTCTTAACCTCTGAGCCATCTCTCCAGCCCGTACATAACTGTTTTTAAAATCCGTGTATGTTCTAAAACCATCTTGCATCCACCCGTGATATGCTAGCCACACATTGGAACACTATGGACTAGATGATCTCTATGCTTCTTTTCTCACACTGTCCCTCGGTCAGATGCACACAGACATTTCTTTTGGGGTTTGTTCAGGAAAAGTTGATTATATTGGTTTGGTTTGGAAGGCTTTCTCTTGCCTGTCACTAATCTGGGCTCCCTGGTGCCGTTTGACTGAGCCTACAAGGCTGCCAGTTCCAACATTATGCCTGTCACTCTCTGGGGACAAATAGTCTCTCTTAAACTCACTCTAAATACAGCAGAGGATCAGCCACAGCACAGGACAGGACAAAGCTTTCAACCAACCAACCCTTCCCCCCCCCAAACAACTCAAGCCCATAAACGGCAAAGAGCCTTTCTGGATATCCTACCTCAGCCGTTCTCTTCCTGAAACTGCCACTGGGCTTCAGTCGGGTTGTGCTTTTATTTTCTTCTTCTACCATCTCCGTGGTCAACCCCCCTCCTCCAAGAACCTAGCCCTTCTAAATTGTTTTCTCAATCAGTCTTTAAACCCC